TACAAGAAATATTTTCTCAGAAATGAAAGATATTTAGTCATATTTATTTGCTGTGTTTGGTCATGATTTGATGGTTTTCTATTTTCATTATTTCAGAAAATGATAGGACGTTATTTGACTATTATGGTGCCTTATTGTATTAGGTGATGCTATCTTACGGCATGGCCTCGGGTTTGATTTATGGGGTATTTCTAATGCTTCTTCGGAATAAAGTTATTCTTTGGGCAGTTCCTCAATTTTTCCAAAGGTGGCATCTGAGATTTATCTAAACCAGGAGGTTTCTTGGCCCTCATTTTTCTTTAGCCCCAGCAATGATAAAGAGCAATGGCTGCTTCAATTGGATGTAAGAAGAACACTTAGGGTTTGTCTCAGAAGAATCAAAGATTTCAGATCTTCTGAAAGATTGTTTGTACTCTTAGGGGGTCTTAAGAGGGGTCAAATGGCTTCTAAGAGTTCCTTAGCTAGATGGTTAAGGGATTGTATTAGGGAGGCGTATGTAGTTAAGGTAAAGAGGCTCCTAGGGTTTGTAAAGCTCATTACACTAGGACTTTAGCTGTTTCTTGGGCAGAGAGGTCGAAGGCTTCCACATTGGAAATTTGCAAGGTGGCCACCTGGGCTTCTCTTCATACTTTTTCATGGTATTATCTCTTGGATGTAGTCTCTTCTACAGATTCAGCTTTTGGTGGGAGGTTGCTTGTGAGCCAGAAAAGAACAGTGAAGAAAAGAAAGACTTGTAGTTCCCACTTAGGACTGCCAACAAGGCAAGTTGCTTTGTAGTGCACACAATGGGAACCTATGAAGACCAATTTGGGTGTGAAAGTAGATGTCACAGGGAAGTACTGCCAACCTCTACTCTCTATGAAAGAAAGCAGCAGTGTGGAAGCTAACCAGAAGTATAAAATGAACCACAGAGAACTCTGTAGGGAAAGCTGTTGAGCAGCTGGTATTCTTGTGACCCTCTGCACTCTTCTGAGGTTCTTAATCTAGGCATGCTCTTAAAGAAACTAGTGGAGATTGCATGCAAATAACTGTATTTTAGAGGGATGCACCAAAAATGAGCTACCTTCTCTAGACAATAAGTGTACAGAATTTTCAATATATTTCTAAATATGTGAAGTAATTCTCCAGATGTTCACAGAGCTCATTAAGTTTTACATTGCCAAATTTAGAAATCGACCATTTTGAATTTCAAACAAATATAAATGCCACAATCCATTGAAACCACAAGGTATCTGATTAGTGTGGACTCAGTGTTACTAATCCTACCTAAAAATTATCCCTTTTGCTTCCCTGTGTAGAATTAAGGGTTTTTAAAAATCTCTCATATTTTAGGGAGGGGATTATATTTTAACAGTTATCATAATTGTTTGATAATTTATTTTCTATCTTACTATAGAATTACTCACCAACAAGAGAAGTCTTGGAAGGCTAATCTTTTTTTCTTATTCGTCTTGAAAATAGGTAGATGGTTTGTATAAACATCTGAGCACATTACTTTGAGTGCATAAACATATTTGGGAGTGAAATGATAAATAAAGGATAATTAACTTTTTTTATAAGTCTAAAACTATAACGACACAATGGCAGATAGTTATTTTCAGAATTAGATGTGCAGATCTTATACTTCAAACTAGTGTTATTTTTCAGGGTAAATACCTGTTAAATTAGATAGTTTTATGAGCTATCTGTAGAAAAATAAAGTGATATTAAGAATCCAAGTGTTGTTCCTTCATGTCACTGACAACTTGATCTTTTTTTCTTCTTTTTCGATTGTTTTTGAATATACTACATGCATATCATAAAAATTTTGACAAAAGAGTAGAGTATATGATGAAATTAAGTCTTTTTCCACTTCACTTACCCAGTTGCCCTTTCTATAGGCAATTACTTGCATATATATCTCCATGTTAAAATAACACAAAATCTTATCATATTATGCATATGTCCTTTTTTATGAACAATTCAAAAAAATAAGAAACACCTCATTCTTTCTAACAGCTGAATAGTTTTTTATTGTTGCATGTATTATAATTTAACCAGCTATTCATCGGTGGACATTTAGAGTTTTTTTTCCCTCATTTGCTACCGCAAACAATGATATGGCAAATTTCATCGAACTATGTCTTATATGTGCACAACTATACCTGGAGGATAAATTTCTAAAGTGGAACTGCCAAGTAAAAAAGTATGGTCATAAAGAGGATTAAAAGATAAGCCACAGACTAAGAAAAAGTATTTGCAAAACATACAAAGTATATGATAAATGACTAATATCCAAAATATACAAAGAACTCTTAAAATTCAACAAGAAAACAAACAATTCAATTTAAAAATGTGTGAAAGATCTGAACAGAGACCTCACCAAGGAGGATATACAGATGGCAAATAAGCATATGAAAAGATGTTCAACATCATATGTGATTAGAGAAGTGCAAATTAAAACAAGATACCATTACACACCTATTAGAATAGCTGAAATCCAAAGCCCTAATAACACCAAATTCTGGCAAGGATGTGGAGCAACACGAACTCTCATTCATTGCTGTGAAGAATACAAAATGGTAAAGCCTCTTTGGAAGACAGTTTGGCAGTGTCTTACAAAGCTAAATATAGTCTTATCATATGATCCAGCAATTGCACTCCTAGATATTTATCCAAATGAGTTGAAAACTTATTTCTGCACAAAAAACCTGCACACCAGTGTTTACAGCAGCTTTATTCATAACTGCTAAAACTTGGAAGCAACTAAGATGTACTTCAGTAGGTGAATGGATAAGCAAACTGTGGTACATCAATACAATGGAATATTAATTCATTGATACATGTCAGGCCATGAAAAGACATGGAGGAAACTTAAATACATTGTATTAGCCCGTTTCTGTTGCTTTTTTTTTTTTTTTCCTTTTTGTCTTTTTTCGTGTCCAGCAACGGATCGCAACCCTCAGTGTCGCGCCGTACCGGACCGGGACTGGCAACGGTATCGCAAACCTCGGTGCTGCGCCCGCACCTCGCTCAGCCAGTGAGCGGGAACCGGTCTGTATGTGGGATCCGAACCCTCGGCGGGAGCGCCACCATGCTCCCAAGCGGCGCACTGTAGCAGTGCGCCACCGGGCCGGCCCCCGTTTCTGTTGCTTTTAACAAAATACTTGGTACTGGGTACTTTATAAGAAAATGAAATTTATTGCTTACAGTTTACGAGGGAAGTTCAAAGTCCAGGGAACACATTTGGTGAAGGCCTTGGTAGTGATGATGGTGACCCAGGGGTTTCCCTGCTGGAAAATGATGGAGCAGAGAGAGAGAGACTTCCTCATGCACTCTGCTTTTTAAAGTCCTCCAAGCCATGCCCATGACCACCATTTTTAGTTTATTCACTACAGCACGGTCCTACAATCTAATCGCCTCTTCAAGGCCCCTCCTTTCAATTACCATAATAAGATTTCTCACCCTCTTAACAATGTTACAGTCTGTCTGTCCGTCTATAACACACACACATGCCTGGCATGCAGTCATATTGTGCATTTTTGTATGGCGTGTTCCATCACTTTAATCAAGTTCTCAGAAGTGTTTGCAAATCCAAAAATGATTAAGAAACACTGGAGTTGGTGAAAACTTTTCCTCAGAGTAGATAAACTCGGATAAAATTTCGCAGGAGTGGTGTTATTTCCTACCAAATGGAATATTTACCTTTAGTGCACTTGATGTACAAAAATTTTGAAACTAACTATAACATCAGAACAAAATATTCTTATTTCTATGAACTGTATTCCTTAGAAATAATTCATAATTCAGTTCATAGAACCACGTTTGGAAAAAAACCCACAAATTTACTAGATGACTCTATTGTTCAGAATCCCTACTGATAAAATCAGTAAAATTTTGAAATTTACCTTGCCCAGGGCATAAGGAGAAACTGATTCTTAATAAAAATAAATAAATAAAAATACAAACAAATAAATGGGGGGGGGCGGGGAGAAGGGAAAGAACAATCACAATAACTCCTTGAACTTGTTAAGATAAGTGAACAGATATGATGTTGATGGGGGAGAAGGGGAAGACAAAGGGGGAAAAGGAGGAATTGATAAAGAGACACAAAAATCATCTACATTGTATATTGATAAATTAAAAAATTAAAACAAAATAACTCTTGGTGAATTGGGGGGAAAAAAGAAAAATTAGATCATAGTATATAATGTATCATCATCTACCAAGTCTAAGCAAAAAAACATAAAAAGATAAATGCTAAATTATTCATATTGAGTCAAACTATCATTATTGCAACTTTAATGGAAATGTGGAAAGATTTCTTTTTGGAGTATTTATTCACTATATTTTTGGAGGTCTATTTTTTTTTTCCTTTTGTAAAAGAGTACCTTAATTGTAAAAAATAAAAGTTGAGGAAATATTTCCATTTTAGGAGCTTGGGATTATTTCATATCGATTCCAATGTTTATGTTTTCAGATGAATTACTGATATGCTTAATAGTGTAATTTTTCCTGATATACCAATGTTTGTCTATATGTTCTTTGTTTCATGAAGGGAAGTGATACTGTACTAAGAAACACCACCAGACCAGTTTTTAAATGAAGTACCATAGAACTTAACTTTTTAAATGAATAAGGAAATTAATATTTATTTCGTACTCACTCATGTACATTATCAACATGAAAATGAATTAATTACAAAGGGAACTTTCTTTTACAACTGTATATGCATATACATCAAATATGAATATAACTAGCATATAGGTTTCATCAAGCTGTGTTTGGAAAAGGACTTTGTATATCTCCGTCCTGTCATTACTGTCATGGTGACATCTCCTACATCTTGTTGACCATATTCCTTGCATACTGATATGTGTGTATGTGTATGTATATGTATATACTGTTGATAAAACTTTCTACATAACTAATGTTAACCTGAATATATTCACCCCATCAACTATGGTTGATTTTTTTTTAATGTATGTTTGTATGTTTGGTTTTTTTTCCCTATTGCTTAGGAATTTTGGAGAAATTCAATAGAGAAGTTGTAACAGATAAACCTAGAGCAAATGAAACCAGTATTCCTTCAGAACAAGTGCTACCCACAGTGAAAGAGGTAAGTAAGGAAAAAAGGTGGTATTTTTTAAATTCATATATAATATTATCATATGTTTGTGAATCCATTATGAATCAAAATGTCTTCAGTTTTACCCTTTGCCAGTAAAAATATTAATTCCTGATTGAAAATTGACTTACATGTTTTGATGAAAATTCAATTTAGTGGGGACACTGTTCTTTTGCACAATCTGTTCCATGGGAGGAGTCTGGAGATGCAAGTCAAGAGATCTTTGTTCTTATCCTGACTCAGGGTCTGTAATTTGAGAATGTGGGCTGTAGATAATTGTTAAAAAGTCAGAAAATGGAGATTTAAAATGGAAAGGAAAGAATAGTTTGAACTGGCCTCATATTTTTGTGTGCCCAACCTGTGTTTGTTCTGAAGACTCATCACCACTCTTCCTGCTCCGTTCTATACTGTAGAGAATTACATCTTCCAGGCTCCCTTGCTTTCTGGATTCTGGGAAGGGTTGGCCACTTAAAGGCATTGATAGAAGACTGCAATGTAGGAGTGTTGGGTAAACCAGGGTATTTCTTCCGCTCTCCCTGTTTTAGGGAGTACCTCTGGTAGTGGCTGTGACTTCTTTATCTCCTCTGTGGACCCTGCTTCCACCAGACAGTGCTCACTGCATGATTCCAGTTCCACCTGACAGGTCTGCCTTGAATTTAGCTTTGACTGGTGGCCCCAAGAACCAGTCTCTCATAGCGCAGTCCCCTTTCATTGTTCCTTCAACCCTGGGGGTGGTTGTGGCTTCCTGCTGTATTTGTATCTGTATTGCTTCACAGCCCATGTTTGGCTCCTCAAATTTTCCATCACCTAGGTAACCAGCACCCTACATTAAATGTATTCCTTTTCAAATACCTTGAGTGGTTTCTGTTTTCTGAATGGATCCTTACTAATATACTAGGTAAATATTTTAAAAGGCAGACAAACATATAATTTTACCAGAGTTTCAGCCTAGAAAGCAGGGGAAATAATCAGGAATATTCAAAGTTATACATAATGCTTTAACCGAAAATCAAAATCAGTACTAAGAAATTAGCATTAGGTAATAGAAAATATTCAGTGGATACCAACTTTGTGCTCAGAACAGAAAGCCATGTGATTCCCCCTTTTTTCTTGGATCATTAGTAAATATTCCCCATTCTAAATGGAATATATATAATGCCAAATATCAGATGAGAAGAGCAGAAATAAGCAAATGATATTTCATGAAAACAAATAGAATTTTAGAAGAAGGTTTGAGTAAGTAAAGATTTTCAGTTTTCTTCTTAAAAGCAGCTATTAATGTGCTTGTTTTTCCATATTTTGAAAAGAAAATTCAGATGGGCCAATGTGTTATAATCACATGTAAATTATCACGGGCAAAGATAATTGTCACTGCATACACAAAAATATTGTCAGTGCAACCATGGCAATTAATGGCAATTTTTACCAGAACATATTTCCTTGAATGAATGAATGAATGATTTTAAAGAATAGACACGCCCTAATGGGGAGAACAGAAGTGAGAGTTTTTTTGTTGTTGTTTTAATTTTCATGGAGGTGAGTTTCTTTTTATATTTTTATCATAAATATGTCCCAAGAAATTACTGTTATAGCACAGGGCTATAACCATGTCACTTCTAAAGTTTCACTTATAAGAAAGGAGATTATATGAGCTAAGTAGTTTCAATTGTTAATTTTATGTAAATACAAGATAAAAGAGATGTGTTTTCAGGCCCTATGATAAAGGTCCAAATAAACTTTAGAAAGGAGAGTTGAGCCACAACTTAATTATGCACATAATGAGAAAGAGAGCCACTTTTTCTGATTATAGAGTTGTGGAATCACAGAATTATAGGTCTAGAAAAGGAATCACCTCTATTTGTACAGTATGTATAAAAATCATTAAATTAATGAGAATGCGGAATACACACAAGAAAATTAGGCTAATGATCATGATCTCAGTCATTTCAGACTGAAAAGGAGCATAGAAATCATCTTATTCAGCTCTTTTACTTTTCTAACAAAAAACATGAGATCAAGAAAAATGAGTAATTCACTCAGGGATACACAGTCCAGGATCTTCGGAATTTGGGGTAGGTACCATGTTAATATAAACAAGATTACGTTAAAAAGGGGGAAGTTTATTTCTAAGCATAGGTTCAGCCTACTACCTATAATGTTTTTAGTACTTCAAAGAACATTAGAAGACTTAGGAGGAAGATATAAATATATTGCCCTCTGAGCCACAGACCAGAAGAAAAAAGGAAACAAGACAATATCGGCCTCCACCACAACCCCTTCTGCTCTCCTCACACACAGAGCAATGCAGACCATTTTAATTCCTTATTTCCTGGAACAGGAGTAGCACTGCTTACCACTTGGCAGGTGGAGAGACTAAATAAAATTCTAAGCAAGTAAAAATCCAGAAAGGTGCAGTGGTGTGTTTTCTCTGAGAAATTTATTTCTTATTGCCACTTTTGGCATGTCTGGATTTCTGAGAGTGAAAAAGAAATAAAAGATTGAATATTAAATGCTGTCTCAGGTTGCAATACTTGTTAACAATAAACTATAAGAAAGACCATAAAAATCTAATTTAGACTTTATTAAGTATATTGAATTTAAAGGTTGCTTTAAGTGATAAATAGCAAGTGTAGCTTTCAGCTTTCATAAAGATGGTTTTATTGAACTATATTTAAGAGATTAAATTTTGAAAAAAGTTTTTGATTAAATCCATTGATGAATTAAAATGAAATGTCAGTATATTACTGTGTGTGTAAAGAATGCACATGTTTTTGTATATTGCTTTATTCACTAGGTAATATTTTTTAGGTTGTAAGAATGGCTTTTATAGTATATAAAAGCATATCTATATTCAACATGTTGAATGAAAGTAATAATTTTATATCTATAACAACAGAAACATTTGTTCCTGAGTTAAGATTAATATGACTTTATATAAATTTATATTTCAGGCTGCTTTACTAGATTTTGGCTGGAGAAGTGCATTTAAAGAAGTGTCTCGGGATATGGCACGTTGCATAACAATTGCAATTGAAGATTTTTCCACAAAAATTCTCCAACAGGAACAGAATGAAAGGTCTTCAGCTGTGAGCTATGCTATGAACCTCATAAATGTCCAGCAAGTTTGGCAAGACAGCTGCATGTTTCCTGAGGAGGAACAACCAAAGAAAATTGCAAAGGCAAGTATCAAATGAAATGAAATCCTTTCAAACTGCTGACTGGTATAGGATTTACACACACACACACACACAGGGTGCATATATATAAAAAATATCCATAATATTTGAAGAGGAAGCATATGGCTGTCTTAGTTTTCTTGCATTAGTAGTCTCAAAAGACGGTAGAGAAGCATCATTTTGGTATTTCCTTTCTGGTACCCTTGTACTCTCCAGAACACAACATAGCCCCTTGCAAAGGGAACATGTGGACTTAGCAGTGTGACTCCAAGAATCTATTCTATATTCTTTATTCAACTTTGTTATGAAAGAAAGCAGTGTAATATAAATAGCTAGAATTAAAAGTAAAATAAATTTAGCTTGATGTAGGATGTAACTATGATATTTCTTTTATTCTCATAGGTAGTCACATGTTGTGATTCATACTTGAATTTATAAACAAAATGTGCCAGAAATCACTTTATTTCTGTAGAATATTTTAAAACACTTTATGAGATAATGGACATCTACAAAATTACAATTTTTTAAAATAAAGAGTGTGTTTGTGGGACATGTGATGGCTTCATAAAAGTTGGTCCTGACAAGTGCATGTTGTTCTCTAGCAATAACGATAACCTAATGCTTAATTAATGCACCGATTTCTAATAAGAATACTTATATTTTTGAATGATGTATTGACAATGCAGTCTATCTCAGATTGAAATACATATTTGTAGAACAGCAGATGTACGTTTTCAAAGGACTTGCAAAACAAAGACCAGCTTTTTTTTTTTTTTTTGAATCTATGATGAAGGTAATCAGTTTACAAGATTACCACCATATATACTAAAGAGGATGAAACCTTTTTTTTTTTTTTTTTCTCCTTTTTGTCTTTTTTCTTGACTGGCAACGGGATCGCAAGCCTCGGTGTCGCGCCCGCACCGCGCTCAGCCAGTGAGCTGACCGGTCTCTATATGGGATCCAAACCCTTGGCGGGAGCGCCACCGCGCTCCCAAGCGCCGCACTCAACCGAGTGCGCCACCGGGCCGGCCCGGATGAAACATTTTTAAAGATTTTTTCACAGGTATATTGCCTTTTTTTTGTCAAGATGTGTAATATTCCATTCTTTGCCTATCTTTATTTAATTTGTATAATTCTTCTCTATTAATTTTAAGTTCCATATAGTTTCTTGTAGAAAATAGATGCTTCATAAATTGTAGGTTTTAAGCCCAAACTGGGAACTATTTGGAAGTCTAAAAAAGTAGTGCAATACATGGTCCTTGTTTCCAAGGTACAGTTTTTATCTCTGAAGATATGATACATAAGCGAAAGAACAAAAGAGTTTGAAACTATTACATATTTAAATGTTCAATTGTTATTTTGTAGAGATTGTTCATCAACAGGTGAGATAACTTAATTATCTCATGAGGTCCCCAGTAAATAATTTGTTTTTTTCTAGTCTCAATATAAGGAGGATTGGAAAGCATTGTTAAAGACTTAATGGAGAACTGAAGTCCCAAACAGATCCTAAAAGTTTGGGTAAAATTTGGCTAGACAAAGGAGAGAGGAAAAAGACATTATAAACAAGGAAGAGATCAATGAATAAAGAAATGGTAGTATTGGGAATGAATATGGACAGAATGATTGATACCTAATAATCAAAACCACTTGTAGTACTGGAGATTGTTACCTCCTACTGCACAGGCCTTAAATCTCTGTCTCTTTGATCATTCCTTCTGAACAGACCCATATTCCTGGTGCCTGTCCAACGATATCAGGAATTCATCAACACTCTACAGTTTCAGGTTACGGAGTACTGCGTCAGAGTTTGTGCTACAAGCATTTTACAGGATGCTGAGAGCCACCACTGGGATGACTACAAAGCTTTTTATGAGGTGTGAAGTTAAGTTTACTATCCCTCCTTTTTACACAAATATGTTTTACTGCCTACCTGCTTTCTGGCTAATTAGAAACATGAGCTTGGCATTACTAACACACAAGGCTGTTAGGATAATATTTTTTAAATATTGAATTTGTATTTAGGAAAAACACTGTCTTTAAAAACCTGAAATAAATTAGACATCAGAACTCTCCTTCTGCTTAAAAGTAAAAATAACTTAATTTGAGCTGCAGTGTTACAGTGCTAAACAAGTTGGAATATAATGGGATACAATGAAAACTCAAAGTGATAACAATGCCAAAAGGCTACAACCTTGTATTTTTTTCCAAAGAGACCAGTTGTGGATATTTTTGCATTTTTTTTTCTGTTATGCATTTCCATCTGTGTTTGATAAATACTTTTCTATTAAGCAGTTTTATTCTTTACACTTTTTTTTCTTCTCGTATATTCTTATGAGTGCACTTTAAGACCTATCTCATCATTTACAGCTTACCTATTTTCATTCAACCCATGTTTTGAAATCCCAAATTTCTACCAAATTAAAGCCTAATGATTTCTGGTGCAACCAAACCCAGGATCAATTAAGATTATTCATCATCAGGCTACATTAGTTTTCTTTTCCCTCAATCCCATTGATTATACACAAACCACAATATTTGAAAGTCCTTGAAGCTGATTTCAGGGCAGGGTGAAACATTTATAATATCTTAGTAAAAGATAATCAGGGTTTGAGAAAAAAAAATTCAACAGCCAAGCCAGCTTCATTAGCTTTTCCATTTTACCCTTTTCTCTGGATTTAAGTTTATGATTTTCATTTTTCTTGATTGTCCAAATTATTATATGGAGTATTGAGAAAAACAGAGTAGAGTTATATTCAGCAGAGTCACTCTTGTCACCTCCTTGGCACTGAAGGTTCCTGTGGTTCCATTTATGCTTGAATTATTATCATAATAAATGTTGCCACAACAGAGAGAGGCAGCTAATAAGAAGCTCTTTTAAAGGACTTTCCACTTTTTCTAAGGCCATTTCCTCTCTTCTTTAGAGGTCCTTTCCAGATAGTTTTTCTTTTTGCAAGAGCATCCGTAAAGGGTTTTCCAAACCTGACATACTTCAAACAGTAGTGGTAGCAGTGAGCAGAATGAGACAGAGAAAGTGGTATGGTGCAGCTGGTAGCCTGAGATAAGAATGAAAGTATTGGTCTTCCCCTCTCCTGGCAGCATCACAGCTTCCTTATTTGCTTTGAGGTAAACAGCGAGGTTGAAAATGAATCCATCTCATGTTTCAAACTGTTTCAATATGTTAGTGTACTAATGAGCAATTTTATATGATGTTTTCTGTGAAGAACAGGTATCATCTCAGTATATGTTCAACACAGGGGTATTATGTTTCCTGTTATGCAAATTGGGAACTAGAATAGTTGTATAGTATAAATAATAAGTGGATGCATTGAGAAGCTGTTATTGAAGTTACCAAGTATTTTAAAACAATAGCAACAACAACAAATTACCATGTAACACGCAGCTCTTAGATCTTATGACAAGGCTTTAGCTTCAAAAGCAGAAATAACAAGATAGTTACCCTATGATTACATGGTAATGTAGCTTCCGTATACTTACATGGTCACTGGTTACAATTTAATTGCAGAGTTAGTGGTTGTTATTTATGCTCAGAAAAATAAAGTGAAACTGCTTTTCTACTTACCAAAAATAAGAACCTTCTAAAAATAGCACAGACTTGAAACTGTTTTGACAACTGGAGTACGAGACATAGTTTTATCTCTCTTACTGCACCCGTTTTCCTTCCTCTCCCCATTTTTCCAACTGATTTGTGAAACAGAACCAGTTTGTTTTGGGCTGAGTACGAAACATAGTTTTATCTCTCTTACTGCACCCCTGTTTTCCTTCCTCTCCCCATTTTTCCAACTGATTTGTGAAACAGAACCAGTTTGTTTTGGGCAGGCCTGTTTGGAGAGGAAAGTAGATGATATCTGCCTGACTGGAGGAGAAAGGTAGGATAGAGATCTCAGGGGAAACTATTGCCGTGTGCACAGCATAGTAAAGAAATAGTGGAAGAATTTGCAAGATATGGAGCAATATTTGCCCATGTTTTGTGATAGCAAGGTAGAGATCTCAGGGGAAACTATAGCCATGTGCACAGCATAGTATAGAAATAGTGGAAGAATTTGCAAGATATGGAGCAATATTTGCCCATGTTTTGTGATAGCAAGTGAGCCCTACATACGTTATTTCTATTTTCTCAACTGTGAGGTTGAAAGAGTCAAAGAGTTCAGTATCTCTTTGATGACGTGCTGGTCAGATGGCCCAGTGGGTGTTCAGATTACATGTCTAAAATTAAGCTTTTAGTATACTTGACATCTGCTCAATTTTAGGAACTTGTGTTTTCCAATAGTCAAAGAATAAAGAATTGTCTGTTCAAAGATAATATTGAGTGGCTTCTATAATAAAGCCCAGCTGCTTGTTTCCTGATATATAATCTAAATAAAAGCTCACATCTGTTTACATTATAGTGGGTCTGCAAAAATAACAGATGTTTACTAGCAGAATACTTTTGAAATGACAACAAATAGGGAAACAGGTCAGAAAAATAAATGAATCACATTTAGTTTAATGAAAACCCTTACATACATTGAAGTTGTACACATTTTAAAAAGAATTGTTAGAACAAAGACCAGTTTGGAATATTTTTTTAAGTAAACATGAAGTTTATATTTAAAAAGTCTTAAAAATGAATAGTTTTTACTTTTAGGAGAAGAAATCTGTGTGCCTAAAGTTATTTTCATTTTCTCATTTATTGCTAAAAGGTAGCTATTAAGGAAATTGGTTTTTAATTTTTTAAAAAATAAGAGAAATCATATTGATCATATTATATTAAGTACCCATTTATTGCCATGGGGAAAGTTAGTTTAAATCATTCATAATAGTCACTACATCAGCCAGGGTCAGTTTTGCTTTAATGTACATGCAACACAAAATGTGTGAGAGAAATAAGCTTTAAAAGTCCTTTCTTAGTTTAAAAAATATCCCTTATCATAGAACACAACAAAGAAAGCATAAGAAACTATAATTTTGCTGCTTCAGCATTAATTTTGTGTATGTATATATATATATATATATTTTTTAATTGGTTATGAATATTCATGAGATACAAAGCTGATCATTATCACTCGGATTTTTATACATATATATTTTTTAATTGGTTATGAATATTCATGAGATACAAAGCTGATCATTATCACTCGGGCCCAAGATGTGAAGGCCAAATTCATGCTGGCAGCATACTCGTTACCACTAAAAGCCATTTGTACCCCATGTCCCCCACCCAATTAGCCCCAATGTATTTCTTTTTTTAAAACAGTTCAGACACATCTAATTGGAAAGTCGGAAGCCAGTGGCCAAAGTCTCCTCTAGTTTGAACTTGACTCTCACATTTTTACACCCAAGTTTCTTACCCAGGGAATAACAATTCTACTCATGTATAAATGCCATTTAAAGTAAATAGATCATAATTGTAAATTATTATCATTACCTTGACTGCAAAATATTTTAGTATTCAAAGAAACTAACAGAAGAATAATATGTAGAGAAAATACTAATAGGAGTATCTGCATAAATAACTATCAACTTTTGGTATAAGAGAATGACAGATTTCTTTTTAGAGGACATTTGTTTGAAAAATATAGGTAGTGGGCAAAGCAGAAATTTTAAGTCAAGGAGAATTACTTATAAATAAAATAGGAAATTTTACTAGTTTAACTTTCTGTGTATTACATAATCAGGATGATATTTGAAGAACCCATTCTATTCTTTCTATTTCAAATAATCTTTTGATCTGGTTTGACTAAAAAAAGGTCAAACTATTAGCATCCCATCCCAAGAGCTTGTTACCTAATTAATGCTTGTAAATCCATTGGACCTATCTTTTTCTTTCTGCCTGTTCCCCTTGGCCTTGGCCACTGTTGGCTCTTCATCTGTGGTCATGGAAAATTTGGCACACAAGTAAGATCTGTAAAGAGGTAAAAAAGAATGAAAGCTGGCCGCTTGGAAGTATGAAGTGCCATAAAAATACTAAGATATGATGATAATTTGTGCCTAGGCTTTATAAAATCTTGCAAAATCAGACTACTGTAGTATCTGTTGCTAGTATTGTTATTAAAAAGCCATAGGTGAAATAGCCTAATGTAATAATTTTCAATAGTTACCCATCCCCCTTAGTTTCGCGAATGTTGGTGAGAATATAGTATGCAAGTTTAGTTTTATTCCTATCCTTTCATTATAATATGAAATCTCAAACATCTATAAAATTATCCGTGATGCTAATAGTCTCAGAAAAATGTGCTCACTTAAATAATTTAAACAGATTTTAATTTTAGAAGAATAAGTCCACTATCTTAAACTAGCTGGCATGACTTGCTTAGCAACTACAAAGCCGATTGTTTAAAAGTAAATTTTAAGTCATAGGCCAGGAGGAGGTAAATCAAGGATATGCTAGGTTAAATGCTTGTGGTCTGGATTTACCCTAGAATATCTGGTCTTGTAATTGAAATAAAACATATGTTCCTTTGTCAGTAAAGATGTTTTACATCTTGTCAAAAATCTTCCTTGGTCATCTAGTGTGTCAAACTCTCCAGTTATTTCCTTTCAGCCTGAACTAATTAGGTTTATAGGAAACAAACTGACATTTTGGAAGAAGTGATTCTATTGTTTAATGTGTGGTGGTTTTGCCAGGGGGAAAGATGCTCCTTCTCACTCCAGATGTGGCATTATTTCTACTGGACTCTTCATCATGATCTCTGGACCATTCTGCCCCCCAAGTTAGCCCAGGAGATTCTAGCAGAAGTGCTGGAGAAATCTTTGGGTCTACTGGCCTCCAGATATGCTCGGGCCCATCCCAGTTATAAGAGAACTCCACAGATAAGGTAACTGAAGTTCTGAAAACCATTGCTTTTCAAGAAAACTTTTTCATCAGTTGGTACAAAGCAGAATATAATTCTGAATCTCATGACATAACTCCTTGTATATTTAACATGTTTCTAACATCTGAAAGGAAATCGTGTTAAATTATCCTGAGGTATTTGAGTGGAAATGTGGAACTTAAAATAACTTTGCTCTTTTTTCTCTTAAAATTGTGTATAGAACCCACTTGTTTCTAAAAAATGATTCAAGATGTCTTGTAATCTAAGACATATATACCCAGAGGTTAATAAGATAAAGAGAGAAAGTTAAGGATCCAAAAAGGGAAAAAAGCAGCCTGATGGACAGTCAATTTGACTTTGAGCTTCCAGGCAACTAGGGAATTTCAGTTTTGGTTTTTTTTTTAAGCCTTTAAATATAGTAGTTGTCTTTATTAAGAAAACTACTTTGTCTAACAATTTTTCTCCTTAAATATATTTGTTTCTTTTTTCCTCTTTTCCATTATTTTTTTTTTCTTCTCATTATATATTGCTAAAAGCCAGTTCAATAAAATGCGAAATCACAGAAAACAAGAAGCAACAGTCATTGGGTACTAAATCAAAGACTGAATTATAGTGCAATTTTATGAGTTATCTAGGCAATGAATATTATACTAATATGTTTTCATGACAATAGNCATTTTTAAAAAAATAAGAGAAATCATATTGATCATGTTATATTAAGTACCCATTTATTGCCATGGGGAAAGTTAGTTTAAATCATTCATAATAGTCACTACATCAGCCAGGGTCAGTTTTGCTTTAATGTACATGCAACACAAAATGTGTGAGAGAAATAAGCTTTAAAAGTCCTTTCTTAGTTTAAAAAATATCCCTTATCATAGAACACAACAAAGAAAGCATAAGAAACTATAATTTTGCTGCTTCAGCATTAATTTTGTGTATGTATATATATATATATATATTTTTTAATTGGTTATGAATATTCATGAGATACAAAGCTGATCATTATCACTCGGGCCCAAGATGTGAAGGCCAAATTCATGCTGGCAGCATACTCGTTACCACTAAAAGCCATTTGTACCCCATGTCCCCCACCCAATTAGCCCCAATGTATTTCTTTTTTTAAAACAGTTCAGACACATCTAATTGGAAAGTCGGAAGCCAGTGGCCAAAGTCTCCTCTAGTTTGAACTTGACTCTCACATTTTTACACCCAAGTTTCTTACCCAGGGAATAACAATTCTACTCATGTATAAATGCCATTTAAAGTAAATAGATCATAATTGTAAATTATTATCATTACCTTGACTGCAAAATATTTTAGTATTCAAAGAAACTAACAGAAGAATAATATGTAGAGAAAATACTAATAGGAGTATCTGCATAAATAACTATCAACTTTTGGTATAAGAGAATGACAGATTTCTTTTTAGAGGACATTTGTTTGAAAAATATAGGTAGTGGGCAAAGCAGAAATTTTAAGTCAAGGAGAATTACTTATAAATAAAATAGGAAATTTTACTAGTTTAACTTTCTGTGTATTACATAATCAGGATGATATTTGAAGAACCCATTCTATTCTTTCTATTTCAAATAATCTTTTGATCTGGTTTGACTAAAAAAAGGTCAAACTATTAGCATCCCATCCCAAGAGCTTGTTACCTAATTAATGCTTGTAAATCCATTGGACCTATCTTCTTCTTTCTGCCTGTTCCCCTTGGCCTTGGCCACTGTTGGCTCTTCATCTGTGGTCATGGAAAATTTGGCACACAAGTAAGATCTGTAAAGAGGTTAAAAAAGAATGAAAGCTGGCCTCTTGGAAGTATGAAGTGCCATAAAAATACTAAGATATGATGATAATTTGTGCCTAGGCTTTATAAAATCTTGCAAAATCAGACTACTGTAGTATCTGTTGCTAGTATTGTTATTAAAAAGCCATAGGTGAAATAGCCTAATGTAATAATTTTCAATAGTTACCCATCCCCCTTAGTTTCGTGAATGTTGGTGAGAATATAGTATGCAAGTTTAGTTTTATTCCTATCCTTTCATTATAATATGAAATCTCAAACATTTATAAAATTATCCATGATGCTAATAGTCTCAGAAAAATGTGCTCACTTAAGTAATTTCAACAGATTTTAATTTTAGAAGAATAAGTCCACTATCTTAAACTAGCTGGCATGACTTGCTTAGCAACTACAAAGCCGATTGTTTAAAAGTAAATTTTAAGTCATAGGCCAGGAGGAGGTAAATCAAGGATATGCTAGGTTAAATGCTTGTGGTCTGGATTTACCCTAGAATATCTGGTCTTGTAATTGAAATAAAACATATGTTCCTTTGTCAGTAAAGATGTTTTACATCTTGTCAAAAATCTTCCTTGGTCATCTAGTGTGTCAAACTCTCCAGTTATTTCCTTTCAGCCTGAACTAATTAGGTTTATAGGAAACAAACTGACATTTTGGAAGAAGTGATTCTATTGTTTAATGTGTGGTGGTTTTGCCAGGGGGAAAGATGCTCCTTCTCACTCCAGATGTGGCATTATTTCTACTGGACTCTTCATCATGATCTCTGGACCATTCTGCCCCCCAAGTTAGCCCAGGAGATTCTAGCAGAAGTGCTGGAGAAATCTTTGGGTCTACTGGCCTCCAGATATGCTCGGGCCCATCCCAGTTATAAGAGAACTCCACAGATAAGGTAACTGAAGTTCTGAAAACCATTGCTTTTCAAGAAAACTTTTTCATCAGTTGGTACAAAGCAGAATATAATTCTGAATCTCATGACATAACTCCTTGTATATTTAACATGTTTCTAACATCTGAAAGGAAATCGTGTTAAATTATCCTGAGGTATTTGAGTGGAAATGTGGAACTTAAAATAACTTTGCTCTTTTTTCTCTTAAAATTGTGTATAGAACCCACTTGTTTCTAAAAAATGATTCAAGATGTCTTGTAATCTAAGACATATATACCCAGAGGTTAATAAGATAAAGAGAGAAAGTTAAGGATCCAAAAAGGGAAAAAAGCAGCCTGATGGACAGTCAATTTGACTTTGAGCTTCCAGGCAACTAGGGAATTTCAGTTTTGGTTTTTTTTTTAAGCCTTTAAATATAGTAGTTGTCTTTATTAAGAAAACTACTTTGTCTAACAATTTTTCTCCTTAAATATATTTGTTTCTTTTTTCCTCTTTTCCATTATTTTTTTTTTCTTCTCATTATATATTGCTAAAAGCCAGTTCAATAAAATGCGAAATCACAGAAAACAAGAAGCAACAGTCATTGGGTACTAAATCAAAGACTGAATTATAGTGCAATTTTATGAGTTATCTAGGCAATGAATATTATACTAATATGTTTTCATGACAATAGNTGTGTGTGTGTGTGTTGTTGGGGTACAGAAAGCTGTTACCCCAAAATATAGTGCTTTGACAGTCTGGAGTACAGAAGCAGCCTCAAGGTCTCTCTGACCTCTCCACCAACCCACTCCCCCTTGCCTTCCCCACCCCTCCCAGCGCTTAAAGTCTAGACCTGCAGAAGAAGTAGACAATTACCTCTGGTCCTTGCCTGAGTTTTCATTAACTTTACTCATATCACAGGAAGGAAGACTGGAGTCTGTCAACACACCTGAACTAACTTTTGACACAGACTATTGTCTTCTATTTTGATCGCATTCAGTATTTCCAAGAAAATCATTTACCAGCCTTTATCTATACTAGGGGCCAAATAGACTTTTACCCAGCCATTGTATGTGCTCCAGGCCCATTGCACCCCCTATGAATCATTTATTCCTATATCCTTTTCTCCCCTTTCCCTATGGAGATTTGTGTATAAGCTCTGAACCCCAGTGGAAAATAGAAACATTACTCTCTTGTGATTCCCTTGTGCTGTGCCCGCTCCCAGTACATTAAATAATAAAATTTGTTATGTCTTTTCTTCATATTGATCGAACTTTGTCAGTGATATTTATTAATGAATCTTCAGTG